GTTCGTTTAAAGGAGCATATGTATGACGTTAGTAAAGGGAACAACAACACTATCTTGGCAATCATGGCGCAAACAGATGGTGCAAGTGTTAAATGGGATGAGGCACGAATTGTTAAACCGGTCCATTCTCCGACTATTGCCTTTGGCATAGAAAAAATGGAGATTTATAAGAGTAAGATAAATAGCAAGTGTCTAAACGCCAAGGATGCTAATGCTCTTCCAACGGCATGGAAGTACATAATAGAAAAGGAAATGGGGATTAAAAACCCGTAAAATTATGGCAGTTGTGTAGTACTGGTTTAATGTATATTTTTGTTATAGTAAGCTTTATATTTTTTATATATATTTTTATTATTTTATATTATTTATGTTTATCATATAATATGTTAAAATTTTTTAGTTAAATATTTAATGGTTTACGGTGATATTTAAAAATATGTTAAATAGTTAATAGTTACAGTTTATGTTAAAAGTTTAAATTTAAAAGTTATTCGAAAGTTGTATTCGAATAGTTCTTGAAGATGGCCTATTGAAATTGGGCTGAAAACGTTTGAAATTAAAGTAATAATAAGCTCAGCAAGAGTTTGGTGTTTTGTTTATATTTGTAAAGATACGGCTGAGGAAGTGAGAATAGTTGAAAATTGTTTGTTTGATTTTCGGCAATTCTCATCATTCTCGGCGGTAGGAGTTATATAACAATTACTATGGTTGTTGAAATACTGAATATAAATGGGGTTTGCTTGCAAAACCTCCGCGGGCAAAGTCGCGGGTAACAGCTAGTTGTATATAATACCTCTGTAAAGTGTAAAAAATATTTAACAAGTTTTATCTATATATAAAACTTTTGAAAAACTTTTCTCTTTTATAGAATCAATTAGTCATTTATGTTTGTATAGGCAAGTGCTATTCAAACCAATGAAATCCTTTGATACTTTTAATTTATTAATGACCCATCCTCATGGCCTAAATAATTATGTTTATGTGTGATGTTAAATACATTTTTCCCTTGATATATTTTCTCTAATATCCTTAGGTTAGGCAATTGATCTGAATAGTGTATGTCTGTACAAGCATCCAAACAGAAAATAAAAAATATATTCTTTTAAAAAAAGATTTAATTTTTAAAGTAATTTTAGAAGAAAGTTTTCTCTCTTATTGAATATTTATTTTTACATAATTATAATTGTGGAAATTGTGATGATAGATTAATCTTAAATTATTATAGCTTCTTGCTCCTATTATAACTATTACAATTTTTGTGTTACTACACAATTAAACTTTTAGAGCTTATCACACTGATGTAACACAAAAATTGTAATAGTAGATTAATCTCTTGAAAATATTCAAAGTTAAAATAAATTATTTCTTAAATTTAAGCTTTAAAATGTTTTGTCTTGTTAAAAAGAAAAGAGATGCTGAATGTAGTCAGCAAATAGCACATTTTATTTTATTTTTTTCTTTTAAAATAATGGGAAATGTACTCATAGTATGTTCATGCAGATCTGACTTTTAGGAATGAATTATTGATGTTATACAAGGAAGGTCAGATATTATTTATTTGTTCTTATATAAATACAGAATGAAAAATATTGTATTTAGAAGAGAAATTGGATTTTTACTTTTTAAACACTAAAAAATTAATAACTTTTATTTTCTTTTAATGTGTGGTTTTTTTATTAATACATATATAAACAATAGCTGATGATAAATTTTTTTAATTGACTTATCCAGTAATAATTATATAATGTAATAAAAACTGAAAGAAGTCTATAAATTATTTAATTAAAATAATGTATATTTTAAATAGATGTCAATAAATTAAAAGTTGGTTATTTCTGTACAGGTATTACAAGATAAACCAACAGTTGAAAATACTTCCCCATATATTACAAACATGTCTTCTCAAAGTCATGATATTATGGAAGCTCTTTTAGTGCATGAGAAAAAAGGTGGTGCATCACAACCTATTATACCTGGACAAGGTAGTGGAGAAGAAAGTGATACAAGTGAATCAGAAGATGAATTTAAAGCTATCATGGAAACTACAAATAGAACAGGTTAAAATTTAATAGTTTTCTTACTTTAATTAAAATTTAAATGAAAACTCAATAACATATAAGCTTAAATATAATTTTATATCAAATTTAATGAAAATATTATTACAAATAAACAAAGATTTTCAATTTATGAAAAGTAAAGTATTGAAATAAATTAATTTACAGTTGAAAGTTTAAAATTTGAATATATTAAAAAACAGTACAGCTTAAAGCAAGTTTAATGATTAGAATTATAAGGTTTAAATCTTGACTTTATCTAATTAGATAGATAAAGTTCAAAAAATGAAAACATAAAACTTATTAATGATGAAAAATTTAACATTTACATTTACTATAATTAGTTTACAATTAGCAATTTTCCCTTATAGTTGAATTAACACTAAGGCATTGGGTGATACAATAGTAAATGTAGAAAAAGAAAATTACTCAGTTCTAACAAAGTTAATTATCATTTTTAAACAACACAAAGCAAAAGAATTTATCCAATGGAAAAAATACTTCATAATGTCTAAGTTAATTCTACCTTACAATTTCAACTTTTCACAAATCAATTACTTACTTTCTACACTCGGTGTCAACTGGAAATTATGCCTTGGCTTTACTTTTTTCAATCTTTTAAGCATTGAATGTGATATCTCATTTCTAACGTCATTGCATATTCATGTACATAATCATTACTTAATAATTGTATCTGCTCATATATATATAGTTATTTGCTAACAATTATTTTGCTGTTGTCTCTTACTGACAGTTGTCCCTATATAATATTTGACAAAATATTATTAAGTTGACTGAATTACCTGCAACAAATTGATTTAATGGCCATTTTTAATTTACTGAATCATGGATGCCATTTTCCAACTGGGACCTGCCACATAAGCAATGACTGACAAAACAAAAAGCTAACAGTTTTTTAAATGGAGATTCATTTGACTGGACAGTATGAGTTTTTCACCTTTTCAATTAAATAAACTCCTCAAAAGAAGAAAAAACTCAAACAAAATATGAGCTATTATTTTATTGTGACATTGTCATGATGTTGGACTGCAATTTTTAATCATATTTTTTATTTATTTGATTTAAAATATATGTTCTCCACTTCAAATTAGAGTGTTTTGCCCCTGTACATCATACTTTCCTGTAAACAATAGAATTGCGTCTCTAACTCCTTTAAAGGGAAAATTTTTGAATTGAAATAACATGACTATCAGTTTGCATCAGAAATTCATATACAGTTAATCGGGGCTCCTGCCCCTAAGCTTCCCATATCTTGTCTCAATTTTCATCTATCTAATCCTATTCTCGAGATTAAGGAAGGACAGACAGGCGGAAGACTGGGAATTTATAGGTCTACAGTTTTTTCAAATTGCAGCCCAATAACAGTCCCAGAAAATAAAATAGCATTTTGGCTCAGTTCCTCACAGAATAATAATTAATACAAATATCCACAAATATCAATGATAAATTATGAAATGTAAGAAATAGCAAGTTATTTTTCTATTAGATATATTTTTATCCAAATTGAATCAGCATATTAGCTAGAGACCTTCAAAATAATTTTGCAAAAAATAGTAAAAAGATAATTTACAAATTATTTATTATTATTATTAAAAGTAAATAATGTAGAGATGGGATGCTGTAATTCTATCTTTCTTTTCTCTATAATCTTTCACTAGTAAGTTTGAGAATTTCAGTCAGCACTTCTAACATCCAAAGGTTTTTTATGAATGATACAATTTTTATCATCACAGATACATTTTGGAATGATGTAAAAAATTTTTGTTCCCTCTTCAGTGCTAGTAAGTTTATAAATATCCAAAAATTTTGAATTTAAATACATAAAGATTAATGTCATTGAAAACTTTTGGATGTTAGAAGTGCTGATTTAAATTTTCATCCTTACTAATGAAGGAATAAGAGAAAAGAAAGATAAAGTCAATTACTTTGACTTTTTTCATATACACAAATTTAAAGTATTTATTAATTATTACTTCTTTTNTATTGTGTATGCAGCATGGAAATTGAGCTACCATATATTACTTTAAAAAAATTAATAAAATTGATTATTTTAAAATTTCCCCTCTCAAAAATTCTTAAAAAAAATTTTTCCAAACTCCTGATGTGTTTTAGAATCAAAGAAATATGGTAATTGAATTTCAATCTGAATGGTATAAAACATTATGTAAAATGATATGTTTTGATTCTTTCATTATTAACTGTTGTTCTCTATAATAAATATTAACCATATGAATACAATTGATAAAATGTATAAAATAATCATGTGTAAAAGTTTTAGAAAGTGAATCTCAACTTTCTTAGTGAGTAACAGTTCATTACAGGAAATTGTTTTGTTATGTATTGTAAATTTTTATCTGCTTTTTTAAAGCAATCTTCTTTACTATGGTATGTTGTTTGTCATATAAATGTAATGTTTATGGTATGGCTTGCAAATTGTCCATGGTATTTAAATACAATAATAATAATTATTTAGTGATCATGAAGCAATGTGTTAAACATTTTGCATCCTAACATGATAATTTATTAGTTATAGTACAAACAAACATTTTACTTTACTTTTTAGATACGTTTTAAGATATTGGTTAGGATTAATACTTGAGATATTTGAGTAGTACTATTGAGAGATTAATCTCACAGTACACAATGCAACAAATTGTAAGGTGATAAAAACTTTTTTTGAAAATGTAGGCGTTCTTTATGTATTTCGACCTCCTGAATTTGAAAATGGTACTCCAAACATCGTATCACCCACAGTTTTTGCACAAATCGCATATTTTGCAATAATGATAATATACCTGAAAACACCTCAATGCCTCAATACCTGTCGGCCATTCTGTGCACCTGAAGAAAACATATTAAAGCACTTCTTACTATCATTCATTATGAGGATCACAATTGGATGGTGTGTGGTGATTTCAAAGTGTTGAGTATGCTTCTAGGACAACAATCAGGATATACCAAGTTCCCCTGTTTTATCTGTGAATGGGACAGTCGAGCTTGTGACAAACATTGGGAGCAAAAACAGTGGCCTCGAAGGTTGGAATTGGTTCCAGGGGACAAAAATATTAAGTGTGACCTTCTAGTGGAAAGAGACAGAATACTCTTACCACCTCTGCACATCAAATTGGGCATAATGAAGCAGTTTGTCAAAGCATTAAATAAGTGTGGGAACTGTTTCAAATATCTATGTTACAAGTTCCGCAATCTGTCAGATGCTAAGTTGAAAGAGGGCATGTTCACTGATCCCGATATTCGGAAAGTAATGCTAGATGAAGACTTCCTTCATTCAATGAATGCCGTGGAGCGAGAAGCCTGGACTGCCTTTTAAGTGTGTGGTTCAAAACTTTCTGGGAAACAATTGTAGCCCAGAATATATCGACATAGTTGAGAACATGCTGATGAAATTCAAAATGCTCGGATGCTCAATGAGTCAAGGTGAGAATTTTTACAATTCACACCTTGACTTTTTTCCTCCAAACCTGGGTGCTGTAAGTGAGGAACAGGCTGAAAGATTCCATCAGGATATCAAGGACATGGAACGATGACGATACCAGGGTACTTGGGATGTTCGGATGATGGGCAACTACTGCTGGATGCTTCACCATGAGCACAAAACGGAAATTCCCCATAAGAGGAAAAGCAGGGGCCACGCCATGACAACTAAGAAAGCACGCAATGAATGATATTAGTGCATGTTTTGTACCATATTCTCTGTATGCATCTGTTCACTGTGTATATATTTCAATATGTTGTTGNATTTGCTGCAAAACATTTTTCAGATTTGTATATATATGTCAATATATCATACTGAGAACTCATTGTAATAAATTTCATCATTAAATCGTTTAATATATTTGTCATTTATTTCAAAATATATAAAATGAAGTCAATGGAAAATGTAGAATTTATTTTGGTTTGCTAACATGAGACATTAACATTTTTTAATTTTTATCGCCTTTTGCACTAAGAGGCTCTTTTGTTATAGTCATCTTGGTCAGATCTACAATGAGAATGGCTGGATAAAAGTGCATAATGGGGTCCAACATATCCAGAATAAATCAATAACGAAAATTTCTAAGGTTGGGAAACGTAGACTGTGTCCCCAGAATGATGGGCTGACGTTTTTAATGGTCCAGCCAGGATGTACTAATAATAAATTATGGAAGCTTAATTTATATAATTAAAAAATAATCTGGTTCTTGCATGATGATAACCTTTTCTGGATGCAATTTGCCAGTGAATTTCATAGACTTCTGGGCCTCATGCATTTTTTCTTACGAAGTTGTAGACTTAAGCCTGTCCAGTACTAACATGTTCCATAACAGCCAGTATAATATATTTCATACCTAATAAAATATATTTTACTAGTATGCAAATTAATAATACTGTATATAGTTTATTCTCATATTTTTACTGGTCAAGTTTAGTTTTTGAATGTTTGTCACCATTATCGGTTTAAGGTTGCATGACGGCACGAGGCAGAAAACGAAAGTGAAATTACGTTGCTAAAGCCGCGGGTTGCTCATGACTTCTGCAATGCATGGCCATTCGATTGATCATTTTTTAAATTACAGAAAATAAGCAATATATCTCTGGATCTTCATTGAATAACTAAAATTTCGAATGTTTTTTTATCAATTGATGCATCTCAATATTCATTAGGCTAAGGATTTAATAATAATAACTAAAGCTTGCTATACACAGAGCCGGCCGGCCCTACCATAGGGCGAACGGAGCAGCCACTCCAGGCGCTAAGTCCTATGAAGCGCCATAATAGGATCTCGCTTCATCCTAAAACTTCCGGCCGGCACTGGTTATACACGCTAGAGAGAACATACTGTTAAGAGCTTTCTTTGCCAGCAATCTAATTTAATAAATGTTGAGTTGATCACATTATTCGGTTATTGAGATGTACTCATAGTTCACTAAGGATGAATTCAGAAATATCATCCTTAGTGAACTATCGGTACACTTTCCTCATTTCTTA